TGGGGTGATAGCTCATGTCAATTTGAAGAGAGTGAAACACCTTCATTGGTTCGGTTCAAATGTTGGACAACGGTGGATAGCTCATATAGCTCATCTCTGGCAAGAAACATTTGACCAATAGAAAGCTGTAATTAAACAGGCATAGTATTTGTAATAACAATTGTCCTTCGTTCGTGGATTTCGATTTCAGCTGAAATTTCTTCTGGCCATTTTAGGTAAAAACAACAACCCCAAAAACAACAACAACAACAGCAACAACAAAATGTTGACACCTAACAAAAAAAATTTGTTCTGTTCCTTCTTTTTTTCTTCTTCTTGTCATTTTAAGTAAACCAACACATGTAGCTTATTTGTGTCACGACGTGGGGGAATCAGGCGCTCTTCAGTTTTTGGGCATGGAGTTATTCAAATCATCTTTAAACTGATTCATTTGTCCTGATTTGGAAGGAAAAAAAAATCCATATGTTTTGAATAGAAGTAGAAATATTTATTGCTGTTGAAGGAGGTGGGGGTCACCTGGTGTCAGCGGGAAAATTAGCGGGAAAATTAGCGGGAAAATGGGCATCAAACTTTGGTCACTTCCAGAGCTTGAGAGTCCTTGGAAACTACAAATTTACAATTTCAATGTCTTTGACAACGTTTTTCAGTGAAATCTACACACAAATGTATTCTTTAGTCGTAAAAGGTGTTAAGGCAAAAAATAAGACAATTTAAAACAATAATTACAGAACCCAAATGGCCAGAAAAATGCTGGTTCCTTTGATTTCATTCTTTTTGACGAGAACATGATTTCACCGTGATGCCTCATTAAATTGGTATCCCGCTGAAAGACCATGAAAGTGAATCTGATTAGAATCTCCGAAGTGGCATCTACACTACAAGATTCTCCAGCTACATGTATGTAGTTATATTTTATTATTTTTTATGGTACGTGTTTTACGGCGCTTGCACCTGCATTAGGTCATATGACAGCGCGAGACACATTAAACTTTTTTTTTTTCAGTTGATAGGAAATTTAGAATTTTGCCCGGGTGGCGGGCGAAGCCTACTCCTATCGATTTTGGACCACTTAAAGGATCTTTAACGTGCCAACCTGCACACGGTACTTCCGAGATTTTTCGCCCTTGTCCTAGAAGGCCATGTGTAGATTTTTGCTACCAGAAGATCAGGGATGTGGCTGAAAGACAACAGTAAAAACGGGCCAAGGAGTAGCAGTAGAAATAGTAGAAAGGCTGCAGAAAGAGTCAGGAGCCCAGTGGAGGGAGCAAAGGAGGTTAAGTTGGGGGGGGGGGGGGGGAAGAGAGTGGAGATGAAAGCAGACGACAGAATATTGCAAAAAAATAGCGTGAAAGGAGAAGATTTTAGAGAATAAAATTGTCCGTCCCTACCCAGGTTCGAACCCGGGACCTTTTGAATGAGAGGCGAACACCTTACCTATAGGCCACGAGAGCCCCACATTCTCTTTCTGTAATATTTTCAAAACCCTTGCATTTTTACGGGGTTTTTTTTCAAAGGGTTCTTCCATTTCATTTCTTCTTTTTTTCGAAAAATCAGGAAGGGGGTAACGTTTTGTAAAGATGAGTTTCAGGCTTGCGAACAGATTATTTCGAAGGAGGAGCATCAAGGCATAGTAAAGAAGAAGTGAAGAATGGAAAGAAAACACATCATACACCAAAGTAAATATCACACACAAACACACACACACACACACACACACACACACACACACACACACACACACACACACACACACACACACACACACATCTCATCATTTATTAAAGGTGAATGCCTTTTGCTCGGCCATCGGACAGTGTGTCCATCACCCCGATGCGTGTTTTATCTATGCAACCCTCTCCCCCCCCCTCCCCACAATCTCTGTGACCTGTTTTTATTATTGATTGATGCAGGTGCTTGACCATTAAAATGTTCTGTCCTCATTATCTTTGTTTTTCCAGGTTTACTGTACATACTATATCATTATCATAAAAGGAAAATCCTCGGCATACTATCGTTGATAATTGTCAAACAAACAGAAAAGCGAATATAAAGAAATTTTAAGTAAGATCAACGTCCTATGCAAGCAAATCGAATTGAAGAACAAACAGTGACAAATTGTATAAATCACTACAACTCCCCTCTCCACCTTTTCGCGGGAGCCGATATGATTTCTCATCTCCGAAGTCCGTTCGAGTTCTTCAAGTCTCCGGTGGCTTTGTTATGTCGTTTTATTTGCAAACGGTATCAGCAGCCTCAAAATTGAAGTACCGGCGTTATCTATCGGCTGAGACCGCGGCGGACTCACTGCCACACACACACACACACACACACATACACACACACACACACACACACACACATACACACACACACACACACACACACGCGCGGTGACACACACAGAGCGATAGCTGGGACTGGCGCGGATTAGAGACGCACACATACACACACACCGCCATTTCAAAATGGCGGCTGTTGGCGGTCGTTGAGGGAATATTCAGGGATTTTTTCATTGTGGTGTTAATGACAGTTTGATTTCTGCTTTCTTTAAGTTGGTTTAAGTACATTTTAAGTTAATACAGGAATGTGTCTTTTTGAAATTGGCAATAAAATGAGTTGAAATCTTCACTGTCAAGAAAAAAACTGAATAATTCGTCCACTTCCTACTTTGAAAGCGGAAGTGACTTTGTCCGAAAGTCTAGATGTGAACTGTTTGAAAACGTTCCTTATTATGAGACCCTAACGTTATTTAACTTCATAAATAAACAGCACATATTATCATTAATAGAATCTTCATCTGAACATTTTCGTTTGCTCCGTTTTCAATTTTGAATTTCAATATATTATGACAAGAACACATAGGGTCCTTAAAGCATAAAAGGAAATGCGATATATTTGACAAAACACGTGAAATTAAGAGGGGAAAATAAAAAAAGCATTCTACAAACCACTGGAGGTTTTGGAACAGTTTTTTTTTTCAATTCATTCAACGGAACAAGATGACGCCACTGACTATCTTGGCACTTTTTGGCGCTGCTCTGACTGCTTGTCTTTTTCAAGGTGAGCCCTGTGAATGATGTTCTGATTTGTGTGTGTGTGTGTGTGTGTGTGTGTGTGTGTGTGTGTGTGTCTGAGTGTGTGTGTGTCTGAGTGTGTGTGTGTGAGAGAGAGAGATCAGCCAGAAAAAAAAAGAGTCGGCGGAAGTCCTCACTTTGCTTCAGATGGTGCTGCAGTTGTTTTTTCTGAAGCTCTCGGCTAAAACCGCCCCTGGACATGGATGGCTGGTGCCTCTATAAATAAATTATTGATTCTGAAGCTTTCTTTCGTTTCTCCAGAAGAAGAATAGTAATAGCACAGTTTGTTAGTTTCACTTTTATTGTTTTTCACACTCTGTTCGCAAAGTCCACGCTTTTTCGAGGAGGGCGCCACCGAGTTTTTATGACACTTTTAACTGGCCCAAAGAGAGGAGTGAACTATCTCGTTGTACACGATCTTTGACAGTAGCCGATGGAGGGATAAGGGAGGAAAAGTGCCGCGTACTCTCGAGTACGGCGAGGCTGGAGTTGTGTCCCTTCTTTCTGTCCTGCCGTATTGACGTTCACCATGGTGCGAACTCTCCGACCGTGTGTAAGTTGCGTACGTTAAAGATCCCTCGGTGGTTTAAAATCAATTGGAGTAGGCTCCGGCCGCCACCCGGGCAAAATAAAAAATTTCCTACCAACTGAAAACGTCTAATGTGTCCCGCGCGCTCATATGACCTTATGCAGTTTCGAGCCCCGTAAAACACTTACCAACAAAAAAAGAACTCTCCGAAGAGAAGCTTCTATAGAGAGGGGAGAGCGACAGCCATGACAGTGCACGATCTTGGGGTATATATGTCTATGACTAACTCAATTTGCTTTTTTTCTGTTTGTTTGATTCTCCCAGCTGTCCAGGGTCAGTGCACTTTGCCCGAAGAGTATTCCGGCACTTGGTATCACAGGGCCCAGGGAGACGACACGACCATAACGGTAAACTTCCGAGGATGGGTGTTGGGGGAAGGGAGGCGGGGGAGGTCGGTTTGGGGGAGAAGTTGTTTTGCTGTTGTTTTTTGCTTTTTGTTTGTTTTGTTTTGTTTATTTGTTTCTTTTCTTTTCATTTCAACGTAGGCGTGGCCGGGGGGTCCCCCCCCCCCCCCCCCTCCCCCTCCCTTCCGCGTTTTTTTTTTTTGGGAGGGGGGCGTCCGTTTTTGGAGATGGAATTTTGTGTGTGTGTGGGGGGGGGGGGGGGAGGGGGGATAAGAGAGGGGGTGTTGTACTCCTCGTAAGGGGTCTGCGCCAATGAAAAACCTTTTTTCTGTCTCTCTCCTTCATCTCCTACTCTTCCACCGCCTCTTTTTTGTTCTAGTACTACTTCTTCTCCCCACCCTCCCCCTATATTTTTGGTAATTTAACAGTTTCATCAACAAAAGTAAAAGAAACAAAAGTAAATAGTAGCTTCAACAAAATTAATAAAAATAAAAGTAAAAACAAGAACCAAGTTTCAATAAAAATTGATAAAAATAAATGGCGTAAAATAATCAATTTAACTAATGAAAGTAAAACGTAGTATCAACAAAATTAATAAAAACTAAAAGTTAAAAAAAAGGTATCAATTAAACTAATAAAAGTAAAAAGTATTCAACAAAATTTGTAAAATTTAAAGTAATAAAAAAACCCAACAGTATTAAATAAACTAATAAAAGTGAAAACTAGTATCAACAAAATTAATAAAAGTAACGAGTGGTATCAACAAAATAATTGTTTTAAAAGTCTAATGGTATCTACAAAATATTTTTTTTTAAAGTCTAATGGTATCAATAAAATATTTTTTTAAAAAGTCTAATGGTATCTACAAAATATTTTTTTTAAAAGTCTAATGGTATCAACAAAATATTTTTTAAAAAGTCTAATGGTATCAACAAAATATTTTTTTAAAAGTCTAATGGTATCTACAAAATATTTTTTTAAAAAGTCTAATGGTATCTACAATATCAGTAAAAGTAAAAGTAAACAGCAGCAGCAAGAACAGAATTACTAACGATCCTGTTCCACCAGTGAGGGGGTGGTTGGCGGGGTCTCTGGTGTGGGTGCTCCTTTTTTCGATCAAACATCTTTCTTATTTATCTTTCCTTCTCTTTTTTTTTCTTTTGCTACTCTTTTGTGACACCTCTAATCTTCGGCTTTTATACTGAGTATGTATCTAGCACAACACAATTAAAGCTATGTTGCTGTTCATTTATATTATGCATGTGACTCTAACTCTAAGCCTGCGTGTGTGTGTGTGTGTGTGTGTGTGTGTGTGTGTGTGTGTGTGTGTGTGTGTGTGTGTGTGTGTGTGTGTGTGTGTATGTGTGTACGTGCTGAAACACGAAACCAATGTGCCAGGATCTGGACAATAAACATATGTCTTATCTTATATGACTTTACTGAGAGTGATTCGCGGGTGCTCTGGTGTTGTTTGCTTCTTCTTTCCTCTTCTTCTTTCCTATCAAACATTTTTCGTCCTTATCTCCCATTCTCTTTATATTATGTTTGTTACTCTCTTGTAACACCTCTAATCTTCTGGCGCTCATAATATGACCTTCAGCAGTTGCGAGCGCCGTAAAACCTCTGCTAAAACTAAACTGACTTTACTGAGTTGCAAGGGCCGTCAAAACTTTGTTCCCCCACAGGTGAGCTCCTCGCCAGGTGTGTGGGACGAACGAGACTGTCACGACATCAGAATCCACGCAAGTGAAAACGGGACCGCCGGTCGGACCTCCACCATCATGCTTAAGTCGTGAGTACTCACAGGGGGGGGGGGGGGGGGGGGGG